CTTAAGATAATCGGGTATAAAGAGTATGTTGATCACAGATGTACAATACTCTGGCTCACACTAGCGAGTGGCAGAGGTACGGTGGCTACGGTACAGGTAACGGTCCTGATGAGACTGGCCGTAAAACAGAGACGCACTACGTTTATATACTTTGAGCCGGGCCGGGTCTGCACACATCCTAGCTCGAGGGGGCCACCACTCGCATAATCCTGTGTACAGATGAGGGTGTAATCCCTATGAAATCCTTATGTAATCCGTGAAATACTTGACCAAATTTTAAAATTATTAGCACTACAATCAGTAAATTTCACCTTGTTATCCAAATTTAATGGTTTTCAAGCCTGAAATTCAACAAAATTCATGTGTAATCTCGCAAAATTGATGTGTAATCCCTGTAATCACGTAATCCTTTGTACATCCTAAATTGAAGTGGTGGCCCCCTCATCCTGGCCCTCACCCGCGCAGTGGAGTGAGGTGGTGTAATGTGGTGGGCCGCGCCGTGCGCGGAGCAGTTCACTCCTATGATACTCTGCTAGGAGTATTTGCAAAGTCCTTAACGACATGGCACTGGCGTGATGGACGCCCCACTGACACACTGTGGAAGCTTTGTGCAACAACTCTAACGCTCCGTGCACTGCAAGTAAAGGAGTGAGCAGATGCGACCAAAATAGAGCGAGTTTGTGATTGCAAGGCAAGAAAACTCGCTCTACGTTTTACAGCTTTAGGTGCGCGCCCTCTCGTGTGCTCAATGATCGAACTCGTCGGTCGGCGCTGCGTTGCGCTGCGCTCCCGGACCGTCGTGCCTCGCCCGGGATGGTTCTCCAGCCCCTCTGGCCCCACCCCGCCTGATCCTTATTCACGGCCAGATGAAAGGGAAAGTGTAATGTGCGGCTCCACTGCGTGGTGTGATGAATGGCCACTCCGTACGGCGGGGCGGGGCAGGGCGGGGCGGGGCCTAGCGGGGCGGTGACAGTCGTGGGAAAGCTTCAGACATGTGCGGGATGCTGCTTGGTCTCCTCCGCACGGCCTTTCCAGAGTACTACTTATATTATCAGATTTCTCTGAAATGTTAAAGGAGAAAGTTAAAAGTTAAATACGGGGTGTGTTCTTACACGTAAAAATATAATGGATTTCACTGTTATTCAAATAAGAGTGTCTGTTTTGGAATCCCTCCATAGGTCATCTGTCAAATCCTTCAGACGTACCAAAAGGGGGGAAAGCAGGACTTAGGGATTTGGAAGAATCCCAGTATTTGAAGTCCCTCGGAACACCCAGAAAACGATGTTTTTGACTTCAGTACAAGTCGAATACAGTTGAGAACATGGACTCAAAATGTGCTCCTAGTTATACAGGGTTGGTGATCCGCGCCGTGGTTTTTTCTGCTTATACTGTACCGGATTCATGGGTGCGGACGGGTTGCATAGTCGCACGGGGCCATAAGGCGCCATGGCGAGCGACGATAGGCAAGCCCGCCCGCACGCGTGAATCCGGTACAGTATAAGCAGAAAAAAACCACGGCGCGGATCACCCACCCTGTAGTACCATATATATACTTGGTTCAAGTTGCAGGGGGCACATTTTGAGTCTATGTTCTCAACTGTATTCGACTTGTACTGAAATCAAGAACACAGTTTTCTGGGTGAAGTCCCTCCGAGTGTAGGCTTTAGTCTGTACTGCAGGGAGTTACAGCTCACCTATTTTTCTCTAACTAATTCAAGTATGTACCCCCCCTATATGCACATATAGTACTGAGTGTCCAGGCTAAGACATGCCAGTACGTTGGGTTGCCTATGCACTGGCTGCAGGGGCAGAGGGCGCGGGCGGGTGGCGGGGGAGTGATAGGGGAGCTGCCACTGCCCCGCCACCCGCCCCGCGCCTGCAGCCCCTGCAGCCATTGCATAGGCAACCCAACGTACTGGCATGTCTTAGCCTGGACACCCGGTATATCTACGGCCCCTTTGATGTCGGCTGGCGTATTTAAAATTGTTCAGGAGGTCTACTTCCCAATCTTCTGAAGGGCGACAAAAGGCGGACCGGAGACCGGAGAGAAAAGGGACACCAAAATGAAACTTCAGAGTGATTTCAATACAAGCAAAATCCCGTCCTTGTCCCACACAAATTTGAGGGACAACTTTGGGACATACTAGGGACAAATAGGACCTTCGTTTTTATTAGGGCTGGGCCCGTGAGTGTTTGAAAATCTTCTTTGAATGTCCAGAATGCCACTGCTGATTGTATGAGCGGCGAGTCGAATCGAACCAGCCAAACGCAAACGAATTGAAATTGTTTGCCAGTTATTTTCAACTTTGCTCGTCGCCACCCTAAACTAAAAGCACGAACGCACTGCCGCGAAAGCAAGCTATGGGCTCATCAAACCCGCTAAGTTGCAATGTGATTTTTTTGTCGGCGTTTCCGTGCAACTCTTTAACACACATAGCAAGACAGCGGACTAGCGGGCTTGTCTCCCAGACTAGTATTAAGTATATGACCGTGCCGTGACTACTCAAGGTCGAAAGAGCAGTTGAAGCTATGTAGCGTTCGTCACCTCCTTCGCCTATCGGGCCGTCTAGTCTGCTGTCCGGCTCGTGTGTCAGGTGGCTGGACAGCACCCGGCGTACACCATACAATTTGGGGTGGGCCTATCTGGTCGACCAGTTATAAATATAATTACACAAAATTTTAAACGATTTGAACATAGCGCGTTTGCCGTGCCGGCTGGACCGCCAACCCCATCCTCTCCCTCCCCACGGCCACGGCCCCACCCTGCATCATGCTAACGTCCTTTGTTCTCCAACCAGCACAATGGCGATCCAAACACGATACAATTTTTTCCCTGGCGACAATGCGGAGCTGCGGCTCCCGCTCTCTCTCTCTCTCTCTCTCTCTCTCTCTCTCTCTCTCTCTCTCCCCCCCCCCCTTCGTTTCTCTCGCTTTCCCTGCCCTGCAGCTTCAGCTTTACCGCGGGCTGGAGGAAATGACCTGGAAACAAAACGCAACGACGAGTCGTCATTCTGCAGGGTGGGGTGGGGCGGACCGGTGCGTTGGACCTGACCTCGGCCCCGCCCCGCCCTGCCTCATGGCGCCGCCGGCGGGAGCGTGATAGTGACTTTATAAACGGGGTGGGTTGGGGCGGAGCGGACCGTTGGTCCAAGCAATTTCTGCACGTCCCCGCCGGTCCCCGCCGGTCCTCGCCGGTCCCGCCGCGCCGCGCCTTGCCCGGGGGTGAATGCGACAAGGAGCTGGTGCGGATATGGTGAAAGCACGCTCCACCGCTTGCCGCAACATGACAACTACAAGCGCAGCGCTACGCCACGCGGTGCCACGCCGCTGCCCCGCGGGGCCCCTGGGCGCGGCCTGGCCCGCCCGGCTGGTCCTCTTCCATTTCCGCCCTCTGTCCGAACCCGCCTTACACCGCCCCGCCTCGCTCCGCCCCACCTCTCCACGCCCCCGCCCCACCGCGTGCCCCACCTCACCCCGTTGCGCTCCGCTCCAAAACGCCATGACAAACTCTTAGAATATAAGACCCGGCTCCGCTACTAATTTGCCCGTTTAATTAATATGCCCCGAGAATTTACCGAAATCTCTCCGAAAGTGCTGCACTCAGATTCGCAGAGAACTCCCTTTTATTGCATCTTGCATGCTAAACACCCAGACGATACCTCACGTATAACCAAGAGAAAGAAATTAGAATTTCCTTAATCTAAACGTTCAGGTACGCAAAAAGCATTTTCCGAAAAGCATATCGTGTATAGCGCCGATCTTTTCGCTGTGTACAGCGCGAGGGGGAAATCACTCTAGATCTGAGTGTACGAGTTAGTACGTTAGTACACGTTAGTACACCCTATATTTTGCGCAATTTTTCATGATTTATTCAAAATAATGTTATTGCGGCACTATTACGCTTGATTTTTAACATTAGTACGCGTTATTACGCTGGTAGTACGAATTAGAACGTCTATAGTACAGGCCTGGGTGTACGAGCTAGTACGCAAGTGATTTCCCCCTCGGTACAGCGCTCCTTATATGAGACTGCTTGTCTAGTTGGAGAGGTTTTGCTGAGTCATCTTCTCTCAACCGTGTCGCCGAAGCTCAGTTAGAAAGATCGCCGGTGACCTTCACACCCGTTTAAAACTGATCCGCCTGTCAGAGGTCTTTCTGCACGGGTGGGGTGAGAAGGTCTCCGCGGCGTGGCCGAATACAACTTGCAAATCATCTATCAAGCCACTTAGTGGCGTGATAAGAGAGCGGCGCGGTGGAGCGTGGCGGCGTTGGCGGCGTGCGGAGGAGTGGGGCTTGCAGCCACTGGCAGCGCCGAGAGCAGTCCATCCGCGGAGAAGTAAATAAACTCAGTGTGCGAGAGGAGAGGCTGGGCGCAGGACGCCACAGAGAGAAAGCGATTCTCAGGTATTTAACTTTCCAGACGCGAGTTTGTGAATGAACATACCGTGCGACAGTTTGTGTCTTGGTTTTACACACGTGTCGTTTGCTTGTACTATTACTAGATACTCGATAGCAAAACCTGTTGATCCAGTGACAGTAAAAGTTTTTTTCTTGTA